TATTGTTTTGCAATTTTGCAAGTCTTGAGCAACTGAAGTACACAAAAGTAGTTTATATTTACTAAAAATTATATTATAGTATAATTATACTTTTTTATCATATCTTTTTTATTTTTTAACTGAACAATATTTTTTGCACACTTTTGTGCAAATAATTAGAACTCTCATATATATAGGCAAACAAAACTCCTCCATCATTTCAGTAGTTTTGTGAGAGGCTGTTTGACTGAATTCAGCTTGTTCCTCCACATTAGGTGAACTGAAGTGTCACTTCACCCGCTGACTCTGTTCACAAGTGGTCGACCGCAAGGCCTCTCAATAAAGCTTAACCGTGCTTGTTCATTAAGAGAGAGATAAGTAGCAGTATTTGGTCAGCAGAGCTTGTCTCTGGAAGTGGGCATCGAGAGGAGGGGTTTGTGCTTTCTGAGGACGTGTGAAGTGGCTATTACTCTAAATTACAAGCTTCAGTATAAAGCACTGGCAGGCAAAAGATACACACACATTTATACAATGCAATGCTGAAGCATTATTGCTCAAGTACCAACAGCCACTTGTCTTTTCCCCTCTCAGACAGACTGATAACCCTTCTTTACACTCTCTGGAAAACATTCTGTGGTTTTACGCACAGGGCGTTCATTGGATAGCCTCCCACTAGACTAATAGCATTTTGATGGAACATACCATCATTATAAACCTCATTCAGTGTAACGAGTCTCAGTTTTCATCTCTTCTTTGATTTCCTTCTTCAATCTTTTTTTGAAGCATGCACAAATATGGCAATATATATTAAAATATTTTATAAATATATAATATAAATATTTATATAATAATTGCAATAAATATTTAAGGTATATATTGAATATATAACAATTAAAAGAATATTTAATATGAATATATTTTTTTTATCTATCTATCTATACATATGTATGTATGTATTTATTTATTAATAATGCAAAATAGAAGCATACTCAGTACTGGTCTCACAGACTACAGTATAGATTTACAATCAACAATCAAATTTGTTCACTGGTTGGTTTTACTGCCTGATTCTGGTTTGTTTTTTGCGTCTTTGTCTTTTCGCCTCGTTTCCTTTGTGTTTATCACTTCAAACACAGCTGCATTAACTCTATTGTAGGGGTCTGCAGCGCAGAGACCCTTCAGACTGATGCTCAGAGCAGAATTACAACAGAGCGCACGCATCTGCAGCCAACAACAGAGCGAAACATAATTGTGTCCTGTCATATTTAAATGCTCCTCGACTGCAGAAAAGGGACAAAATATCTCCCTCTCTCTAGCTTTTCATTGGTCTATTTTGCCTCCTCCTCATCCTCTGTGTCTCTCTTTCACTTTCTCTCTCTCGTTCAGCAGAGATGCAGCTTTAGTCTCTAGACTTGTCAGAAACAGCCAGGCGTTTGAGCGAACAGGCTTTGGCAGAATCCAGTAAGTGCTGGGACTGAGGTGGGGAGCAGCACAGCCATGGGCTAGAAACACCTGGGTTTCCTCTGCTCCTATTTAACCGCTTCATGCAAACAAGGCCTGAGATTCAAACTCACTCGATTAGCACATGCTGTAAACAACCTACAAAACACCAGACGGCTTCTCAACAGCTATGTTATTTAAGAATCTTAAACTGATCATCTTAAATTGTTCACTATTCTTCTTCTCTGTTTTATTTATTTATTTATTTTATAATCTGCAAAATCTGCTTTAAACTCAAAGGAAGGTCACACCAAATGTTGATTTAATTTAGTTAATAGATGTTAATTGATAAAGAAAATCTATTTATGACATTATTTTTGACAGCATCCTCATTTTACAGCTTCTTTATACAAGTGCCTAAAACTTTTTAACAGTACTGTAGCTTTGCAGGTAGGTTTCTTAAGGTAGGGGGAAGTCGAGGCCTAATGGTTAGAGAGTCGGACTCGTAACCCAAAGGTTGCGGGTTCGAGTCTAGTACCAGCAGGGATTGTAGGTGGGGGGAGTGAATGTACAGCGCTCTCTCCCACTTTCAATACCACGACTGAGGTGCCCTTGAGCAAGGCCCCGAACCCCCAACTGCTCCCCGGGCGCCGCAGCAAAAAATGGCTACCCAATGCTCCGGGTGTGTGTTCACTGCTGTGTGTGTGTTCACGCTGTGTGTGTGCACTTTGGATGGGATAAATGCAGAGCACTAATTCCGAGTATGGGTCACCATACTTGGCCACATGTCACGTCACTTTCACTTAAAGCATCTTGGAGACGTTGCCACAGTTCTTCTGGATTTAGTGAAGAGATTATATCTGCAATCAGATGTGCAAACAAAAATCCCACTAGTTTATATATATATATATATATATATACACAAAGAATGTGTTATTGGTCAGTATTGTTCTTCAAAGTTATTTTATTATTTTACTATATATTTATTAAAATTTAATACAAATGTGTTAATTATTTATCTTAAATTGATCAGTATTGTTCTTTCCTGTTATTTAATTTAATTTTTTAGAATATTTATTTAACTTAACTAATGTAAATTAATTATAATTATTGAATACTTATTAATATATATTATTATATTTTGTTTTATGTTTAATTTTCTTTTTTTATATTTTATAATTTCATGTCATGCATTTTATTATATTTTATAACTTTTTGAATGTTAGTTGTATATTTATAGCATTACATTTTATTTGGGGGCTTTTTGCCACTTCATTGATACAGCAGGAGAGGACAGGAGGAGATGGGGAGAAGAAGGGAAAGTGGAATCAGTAATATCACAAGCTAAATTTGAGCTTGTGTCTCCCAGACACAGCTCACGGCCTTGTGCGCAAACCACTAGGCCACATCTCATGGCCTCTTGTCATGACTGAAAACCTTTGCAGATGAACCTAAAGAAAGGTCTGTTGTTGTTTGTTCCTTGGCTGGAGAAAATAAAGTCTTGCCTCACTTTCAATCAGAGGTATTCTCCACCTCTGAAGTCCTCTTGTGACTAAACATACAACCAAATCAAGTCAAATTCTCACAGCCATATACATGAAACAGACATGTCTGGGGTTTCCATTTCGAAGTGGGTTAAATGTGATCGCTGCAGGCTGAACACACGTCCCATCGCAAGTCTCCTTAGCGTTGTGCTCGCTGGTGTGAAAACATACCCCGACAAGGCTGTTTCTGACCAGCTTTCATAAATGGATGGCTTGTGTGTACTTTGGTTGACTTTTGGTATGTATAAAAAAGAGAAAGGAAGTAGGAATTGTCATGCTTTTGTGTAAGAAACTTGTTTTTGAATGAATGTTCTAGGTTATCAAAGTTTCTTTGGCACTAAACCATTCATTAGACATTTTAAAATTATATTTTCAGTTGTTAAAAATGCACTTATTAGACCCTCAGATTAGATACTGCATATACAGTAGCCTATATATATATATATATATATATATATATATACAATTGATTTGTTGAATGGTTGAATTTTGCAACAACTTAAACTATTAGGCTAATATACATTGTTTGCGGCTGTTAATACAGTTCATTCATCCAATACTCAAACTCCCACAGCGTAGACGATTATATCATGAATTACCTGCTATTAAATATGATGGTATATTTTATGCTAACGTTAACTGTGCCATTTCATAAATTCAACAGTCATTTAAAACGTCTGCTTGAAGTTTAGCTCTTCGTTTCTTTTTGTTGTCTTTAATATCAACACAAATTTCCTAACTAACTACCTATCTACTCAGTTCTTAATTACATCAATGCAGCAAAACTTAAATGATTGTCATTGCAATTTAGTTATACGGGGCAGTTATACGCAAATTATATACATTTTCCAGTCTACTGTATCATTTTGTCTTTGTCGATGTTTTTGTTGACGCGCCTAATGTATTTTCTGTACGTGACGAACAGGCCAATCGCAGTCACACATACCTATCCGTTCTCCTGTAAGGATTCTTCTCTACATTTCCCTCCCTGCTGGGTCTCCCGAGGGGGCAAAATCACAGATTTTACCCTGCAATCATTCCTTACACTTACTGGTGGGATAAATCTATTATTTTTTTATGCTTTTGGTTTCTTCTTTACAGTAAACAGTTGCTTGAGTTCTTTTTGTTTGCTATTTTTCACATTATATCCGGCGTGGTGTTTCGAACATAATACTTTCTGAAACGTTTCTTGAATGCATGCCGATAGCCCGCGTTGCCAAGTCTTCGGTTTTCCCGCGTGGAATTGGGATATTTTGATACACTGCTGCCGCGGGCTGTTTTTTAGTCCGCGGGTTGAAGCGAAACCCCCCGTCTTCCGAAACACGATTGCGACCAAGTTGGGACTTCCTGGAAGCAGAACGGGATTTTGATAGCCATTTCCCCCGGAACACGACTGGGCTAGTTTTGGCCGTGATCGGGCTACTTTTGAGTAGCAACTACTGGGCTGGTTTTGTTACGCAGACCTGGCAACCCTGCCGATAGCGTTCATACAGCTGTGCACAGAAGTGAAGGAGTTTTCTGACTATGCAGCCCCACTTTTTTGTTTTTCATTTCTTTATGAAACAATTTAACTTAAATGGCACAACATTATTAACATGCAGATTATTTTAAAGAGAACAGGCTTATTGAAATATCACAAGAATCTCATATATGAGAGTTTCAAGTTATTTCTGAATGGAAATGCAATGTAATCATGAATGCAGACTTGGATAATTATGGTACATAAATATATTTTCAATCACGTCTTTGGAGATAAAAAAAAAATCTGAAATGGAATTTTAAAACATTTGTATTTCATTTAATTTTTTTTCTTTTAATATTAATTGTTATTTATTTTTATGTTTCCAAACCATCTGCTTGAGATTAAACACTTAAAATTAGCAAATGAATTCATAATTATTAAAAAGGATGTATGCCATTGGATGACCTGATGATTGTATAAATAATACTCCATTCTTATTGTCAGCTACATTAATGTTAGTTATGTTTAAAAAGTGGCCTTCAGTGAAAAGCATGTATTGAATATTCAGAGAATTATAAAATGAAATTAATTTTATTAAAGAAATTGTTCTGCGAGACTTCTAGGGAAGACAAATACTTACATGTTGACATAAGCAAAACTGAATTATACCGAAGACACAATCTACCGTTTTAAACTACCAAACATTTTCCTCCTCCGGTTCAGCAGTCGCCATGTTCAACAAATAGCTTACTTTTGTCTGCAAGCTTTGGAAAACAATTTCTGGATTGGCTTCCTTTGAACTCTGTTGCTATTTTTGTCTTGAAATGATACAGAGATTGTTTGTTTCTACAGGTCCACATTTGAAACAGAAATGGGCAGTTCTTGATATCAGCTGATGATGAAAAAAGAATGATGAATAAGCCTGCACAAATGATCCTCCTCTCACTGATGCAAGACCAACTTGGTTTGACAGTCCATGGTTGTTCTTCTTTTTTTTTCTTTTTCTTTTTGTCATAACATACAATTGGCCATTACATGTACAAATACATCAAAATGACTTAGGTTGGAAACTGAAAAACAGATTTTTTTTTTTTCATTTTACGATATAATACCGGGCACTTTACAGAAGTCTGTTCTCTTTTATTCTTCAAGTCTTTGTGTCCAAAGAATGATAGAGAAGTGGCACTATCCCAGTACAAAAGGGTCCTTTAGAGTCTCCTCTTTTCCTTCCATAGTTAAATACTGCTGAACAGCCCTGCCTTGAAGCTGAAAGACGTCAGGAGGTGAAGAAGCTCCTCTCTCTTTTCCTCTCCTCTGTTTTCTTTCTCTTTGTTTTTGTTCTCGTGTGTTCTTGTTCTCACTGTAGTCTGGGCCAGTACTGGGACATGTCTGGTTCACTGCCTGGCACTTGGACTGGTACAGACACTCCAGGCGAGATTAGACCTGTAGCATGGTAAAAAAATGCGGAAATATTTAGGCTTGTCATATTATGTAACTTAAGAGCAATTCTCAAAAAAATAAAACATATATAGAGTATGCATGTTTAATATATAACAAATCAAAATATGAAATAGAGATTTTAAATAAAAATAAGTTAAATGTTAAAAATATTTAATTAGTTTATAAATACATTTCTGAAAAAGTTAAGACTTGATGTGTTAGGTTACATGTGACTTCGGAGCTTCATAAAATGTCATACAAATTTTAATAAAACTATGAAATTATTTGTTTAATATTTTAATTAATTTAAAATAAAATATTAAAATGATCTAATAGAATGATACATTTTAAATACTTTTTTAGGTTTTGTATATTATAAAATATTAAATCATAAAATATACAATAGAAATTTTAAATAAAAATAAATTCAATAATTAAAAATATTTAATACAATTTTGAAAATAAATTTCAGAAAACATTGAGGCTTATTATGTGTCACATATGTGACAGAGCATTTTCTGCTTTTTAAAAAAATTGTATACAAATTTTAATTCAGTTATTTATTTAAGATTTAAATTCACTTTAATTAAAATTGTAAAAACATTTAAGAAAATATTAAAAATCTTTAATAAAATAATATCTTGTATTACAATTTTATGTTATGTTTTTAAATATATATTTTTTTTTTTTTGCTTCAGTAGAGGAATAAACGCTTACCTGTTGAGGTTGTGCCTGAGGTGGCCATTGATTGGCTGTTCATATGTGCCTGCATGTGCGGGGGTGTGTATGTGTCATAGCTCCGCCCATTCACTGAAGGACTAGTGGGCAACATGCAGGAGTAGGATGAGGTCTGGCTGGGCTGTGGAGGGGGTAAAAAGGGCAGACCTGTCAGCAACACTCACATCTGATAGAAACAGCCTTACAGACCTGAATGCTGTAATTGCATAAGATTTTACAGTGCTCGGAAATATCAAATTACTAATCCTTTGAAATACTAAGGCAAACCCAACATAGCATAGAACAATATAGTACAGTGTGAGGCACTAAACTGACAAATGTAGACATACTTGCATAGGAAGGTTGTTGGCCATGGTGAAGCTTGGCATTGGTGGCAGGGCGCTGTATGTGTTCGTAAGGGCTGTGTCTGATCTTCCCAACATGGAGCCTGGTGTGAAGGATACTGTTGAAAAAAGGAAGAAATAATCTAAACATACCATTTTGGTAAATTTTCAGTAGTGTTTGCTTAAGGCCCTCGTGAGCCAACAATATGCACGTTGTAGAGGTTTTACCTGGCGTTGTGGGCTGAGGGATTGGCTGATAAACGCTAGTGTAACAATTATTATATAAATTTATAAATAAAATTTATTTATAAATAAAAATTATATATATGTTATGTATGTATATGTGTTATATATAACACACAGAACTCTTTAAAGTGATATTGTTTGAGTGGCTAAGCCATTTATATTAATATTTTAAAAGAATGACAATGGCAAATTATTATGAAGTGTACCAATTTATCTCTATTCATCCGATTTTAGAGGGGTTTTTTTCGCTCACCTGTATTCTTGCTTCTGGTAAATCTATTTTCGCAGCTAGTCTCTCTCGTGCAAAAACGTCAGGATAGTGCGTTCTCTCGAACTCTGGTTGAAACATAAAAAAATACGTCATGAGTTCAAAAATTAGTCATTTTCTGTTCAATTACACAATGGTTGCTTAAACGTCATGCAGAGTAATTAAATTGAAATATAAAAGTTTACAAAGGTTTTCTTCTTGAAATGAAGTGTGATTAAACTGTTCAGTTGTAGCTAGTCTACAGATGCTTTCATATAAGCTCTAATCTTCATGTTTACCTTTTTCAAGTGCTTCTATTTGTTCTTGTGTGAAAGATGTGCGGTTTCTTTGCAGTTTTCTTTTTAGCTGAAGCCTCATTTGGGTCTCATCTGAATCCTCTCCATTGGAGCTTATTGAGTTGGTGTTCTCACCGCCTCCGTCTGATTGTTGGCAGCCATCTGAAAGGAAAGGAAATATCAAATGTAAGTTTGTTCTGTTTATTCACACTTCTCATGTTTGGACTCTAGGTTTTAATTAAGGTATATCATGGTTTGCCTGTCATATTTAGATTTTGGTAGAAAATTAGTGGAGTGTTTTGTAGGCTACTGTACCACCCTCTGCGGTGTTGTGGGAAAACATTTAGAGCACGCTCACTTAGATCTTTCAGCATCGAGTCAAAAAGGCTGACGAGCTTGAGGGCTTTACAGAAATGCGATAAAATGTCCCAGAAACCTTTTCAGATCCTCTGAAATGTTTTTTAAAAACCAAACACCCTCTCCCCCCTTTTCATTCCCGAGTTCTTCAATTAGGCTGCAGCCACCATATGGGCGTTTGCAGAGCTATTGAGGTGACCACCAATACTTGAATAGGAGAGGGATGCTTTCACAGCCACACAATGCGGGAGAGTAAGGGTAACTCTTAAATACTCGCTGGGAGGACGGATGGCAAACTTTCGTGGGTTGAATTTTGAGGACACAATTGGAGCGGGCGACAAAAGGATTCTCTCCAGCAGTCATTGTAGCACGAGGATTCCAGTCAACAGACTTTTCAGCTCGGCGTGTTAACCTTTATGCTCTACTGTCATTAATCACTGTCCCTAGGGCCGGCCCGTTCAACCTCGGTTAGGATTTATACCTTCTTATAGGCGCAGAAAGAAAAACAGCCAGGCCACCGTGAATGAGACATCTAAATATGAAGCCTCTTGTTTGTCACAGACTAAAGCACTGGAGTGCCAACTGTGAGTCGATAAGCTTTAACCTGCTGTGTTGTTGGACACCAGTGCCTAATTAACCCATCTCACCAGATACATTTGAAATTAAAATTTCGTTTGGAGTTCGAAAACTCTAAAGAAACTTGTTGATGTTTTGCGGAGAGTCGTGAGGTATTAATGAAACCCCAAACTTTTTGGACTCTTACATGGGTGGAGGTGTAAGTAGTCACATGGCCACCCAGTTGCCCATTTGAAAGATGATTTCTGTGTCCTATACAAGGAAGTCATGTATAACCTGTCATACTTTGGAATATATCATATTTAAAGGGTCTGTTATGAATGTATTTAAAATAATGCTCATAGGACCTGTGAACATCACAATTGTGACCAGTTGGAAAACACAGAGCCTGTGTCTGAGTCCAATTTAAAAAAAGAAAATTAATTATCTTAATTAAATTAAGAATTAAATTATTTGATCAGTTATCGTTCCATTTTTCCCTACAAATACCTTAGAAAAAATTTAGAAATGTAAAAATATGTAAAAATGTAATATATCAAATCTTATATATATATATAGGTCACTGTTTGATTGAGCAAATGAGCATTTTTGAACTCTGTAGTTTCCCACAGGTTACAGTTGATCCAGATTAAAACTTTTTACATTTTCATTATTTTTATTTATTTTTTTATTTTTTTTTGGAAAGACGGTTTGTTTCATTGGGCTATCCATGGAGTAAAAATACATGTGTTTATTTATAGGAAACAATATGAAGTTAAATTAGTTAAAACTACAGTGTTATGAAATTTAGTCCCCCATTCTTAGTGAAAGTAGATTATTTGCTTATAATGTGTACATTTTTTATTTTCTGGAGATGGTGAATTGAGTAAAAATAATATTGATTTAGAGGCTAAAATTAAGATCATTGCTTGCATATATAATCACTGAAAAATATGCTGTCAAAAATAAACTTTTCCATACCTTTTTTTGATATGATGTAAATAAGACATGGTTACTCTTCTACTGATGTAGCAAGAAATATTAGGCTACATATTAATAGACTACTAGCTAAGTTATTTAATTTTCAAAGACAGTGCATTTCTATGTTCTAAGAAAGTTTTAAAAGGTCTTTGTGTTTAGTATCCACACTTTTCAAGAGCTAATCCGAATGTGTGGCCTGTTCTCAAAAGCCTGACCAACTGTCGCCAGATTTCGGATTTGTTTTCTCTGAGAAAGGCGCTGGGAAATAAAATCATTCCTTATTGGGGCGTTGTCGTAACCGGTGAGGCGGAAGGCGAGCAAAAGGGTGGCAAAACAACCGCGGCATCTTTCAGCTGAGGAGGCCTTGATCAAAACATGCGAGGACCCTTGGAAAAGGAAAAGTGTCCAAATCCTTTAGACGGCTTTAGCACCACGAGCCTATGGCGCCGGGAGGGGCTGCTATGAGTCCTCTGAATGCGATAGGAGTTGTCTCTTTTAGCGTCCTGTCAGCCCAGATGAATCCGCTATTTTATTCAGTGTTGCGTGACATTCATCAGATTGCGACCATATTTGTCTCGCTCTGAAACCTCACCCTGACTAATAGCCTATTTTGGGAGTGGACTTCGAAATGATAGTGGTGAAAATTATATAAGTTAACTATTTAAAAAAAGCATTAAAAAAGTTTGTAGACTCGAAAAAATAGCCAGTCACAGATATTATTGTTGTTGTTACATTATGTTATGTTTTATAGGCTAATATTTGTCGTAACAAATCAAAAACTAGATGCTTTAGAGTTCTGGCAATTAATCCACAGAATTAAATAAATGAGCACTTTTATTAATAAGTTTTGGTCTCAAACATGGTGCGTGTAGGCTACGAGGCCACATGTCAATAAACAGTAGGCTATTAAATATGTAGGTTATGTAGCATGTCATGCGAACTCAAATTAATCCATAGGCGTATCCTGCACTGTATTTTAAGTAAATATGTCTCATTTTATTCATAAAAACATGTTAAATATTATATAACGTAATTTGCTCATATGAGCCCATAGGCTACTCTCCTTTGCATAAAACACATTTGCATTTGTTTTGTTTAGTTGCTGTAAAGTAACCCAGTCAATGGTTTGACAGGCCGATATTACACAGACATTAATTCTCTATTTATCATATATTTTTATATGTCTGTCTTTCGTTGTGTAGCGCCTTTAACAGGGACAAGTCTAATTGGCAGACGATGCCATATCATGCGGGTGTCTCCGGTGGAACATTTCCACAGCTGTCTCCTCAAACTAAACGCGTATTTATGTCGCCTTAATGGGAAACAAAACGTTCTCTATAATGAGCTATTACATAGCGACAGAACTGTTCCCATAACACATTTTTCTGTGTGACAGAAACATATTTTGCACGGGGAATCCTTGTTTATTCGATGTCGCGTTCTTTAAGAACTGTGAAGGTGGATTGCAACTCGCATTAATATTATTAATTATTATAGTCATGGTATTTAATTTATTAATTCAAACGTCATTAAATTATTGATATTATAACAGTACATTAAACTCCGTGTAACATGCATAGCTTAATTTATTTAAATTGTATATATCATCTAATAATAGGCTACTTGAAAGCATGTGGGATAAAAACGAAGTATAGGCTACTTTTATTATTAATATGGGAATTGTTTTATCTTTTTAAATAATAATTATAATTTACTTCAGGTTGCAAAATAACAATCCAATTTAGCGAATCCGATGCCCGTTTTGACACAGCCTTCCTCTATGGAAAGTAAAATAGCCATACCTTGATTGGGCTGTCCTGGCACTGAGGTTCCGGGGTACCATCCCGGCCGGGTCCCCCACGTGCCGGTCTGACCGTTCAGCATCCTCAGCTTTTCATACATGCCATCTGCGCCCATCTGTTGCTTTTCGCTAGCCAGGTTGCGCAGTACTCTGTTTATCGATGACACCTGAAAGACGAACCCAAAGATGCGGCACATTAATTAAAGAGCGCATCCGCGATGTGGCATGTTGGCTTTTGGAACGATTGGCCCCATTTCTGCACAGGCCTACATGCCAGAGCATTACATCGCATTGCATTGTCCTCTGGTGTAGCTAGAGGAGATTACAGCAGCGGCCGGGGAAGACCGATGTTGGAGAATGTTCACGTTCAAGGTCATTAGTGCATGCTTTTTAAACAGTGCATCAAACTATTACGCATTAAGTTCTCTGAATGAACTTACACTGGGTATGTTATCGTTTGTGCAGACCCCGTCTGATAGCAGCCTGTCTCGGATTTCCCACGCGAAGATTGACGGACACTCCCTCTTGTACTGGGCAATTTTGCCGACCACCTCGGGAGTCGCTACTCGTGGTTTACTTCCTCCGATCGCCCTGGGTCTGATGGAGCCCGTTTCATAGTATCTACCCAAGATTTTACTCACGCAGCCGTTCGACACCTAGATAGAAAACAAAAGAAACAATTCACATACATTATTTAAGACTAGTGTGAAATGTTAAGTGTATGCTGCAAGCAATGATAAGCTTACGTTTTCATTGTCCAGCACTTGGACTTTTGCATCAGCATGGGTCTATAACACAAGAAATACCTTTAACACGAAAAATATGTCTTCAGTGGTACGAGAAATTATGCACTTTTTAAAATGCATTTCGGTCGCCAATTTTCAAAATTGCCAAATGGGAAAAAATGAGAAGTGCTTCGATCCATTCCACAAGACCACTGTTTATGCATTCCAAAATGAAATTCGAAATGAATCCTCGTTGTTCGCTGGCATTAATAATGCAAGGACTTTAAAAAAAAAATCATAATAATAATACTATTTTTAAAAACTACTATACAGCTGGAAAGTGAAAGTACAAATGTGAAACAAAACTACTGTATAAATATTTAAATTTTTGTTGAAGACTTCACATGAACGGAAAATATGCATTCTCATCACCTGCAGAATCCGGGATATGTCACACGGCCGCGCGCCACTGTGAGCGAGTTCAACTATTTTCTGTCTCGTGGAGTCTGGCAGCGGTCTGCCGTTGACGAACACACCGCCGAGCTGGTTCACTCCACTGTGACCTTAAAAAGAAGAAGGTAAGATCCCGTTGTAAATCACCAAGCTTTTAGCGTACCAGTCTCAAAATACAGACTCTATTTAAACAGAATCCAATCACAGCTGTTTTCAATAGAAGCCTTCAGGTCGCGATTGTCTAAAATGAGTCAAGCATTACAAGAGCATTGTCAACAAATCTCAGTCTTCAGAGTAAATCGCTTTTAAATCAGCATAGCCGGTCATTACTGCTGTTGTTCAGCTGTCATATGTTTTCGACTGTTCTCCAGATGTGCCCGTAATATCATAATCTCCTAATGCACAATTGTAATATAATTACACATGCAGAACATTGATTAAGCGTCAGCGCTCTTGTATGATCTGGAGCAAAACATCTCCAACCCACTGAGCCGAGATTTGCGCATCTATGCAAAGCCTTAAACGGATCAGATGGCGTACTGCTATTTGTGGCATTATATTAAAACTTCTTAAACGCTGCCATGATTTAAACCATAGCTTCACACATTAAGTAAAACAACTTTTTAAAAAAGCATGAACCAAGGCACAGCATTATGTTACTTTGTCAGTGGAAAAGCCCCTAAAAAGCAGACCAAAGGCACCAAACCTGAAGCCAAAACGGAAAAGCAGCCTTCCCGGTTTGCTTTACTTCTCAGCTCCCTTCCCTCCGAAGCCTCGCGTTAAATTGAGTCCAAGAGCACAAGCTCCTTTGCAATAAATAAGCTCCAAATATAGAAGAGGGGGGAAATATGATGAGCCTGCCTGACATTTGTCTTTAAAATAAAGCTAGCTGCACGTCAAGTTTGAGCTTAATTTCTGGAAATAGGCGGAAGTCGCCCTGGATCATGCATGGAAGGCTAATTGAAAAGATCAGTTGGAGCACTTGTGGCAGGCATGTCACTTTATGACATCGCTCTGCTTTTGAAAATCGCATCGTCACGACAAATAGTAGCATGATAAAACGACCCTTTCTGTCTGCATTTGGATATCACTCAGACTAAATTGGACTCTACTCATTTCCCCTTTAAGGGAAGCTTAATTTTAAGGTAGCCAGGGGCTGTGCGCGTGTACGTCCACGGGGGCGCGCCTCGCCCTTAATATATTAAAAGTGACATTTCTTTTTTTCCCAAGTGACAAACCTCCATTGCCTATATTTACGCACTGGGAGCGAGTCTGCGGGATGCTGTTTTGTTCTGTAGGTTTATGCATAATAAATATGTAGAGCGAAATTTAAAATCTGAATTATTCACGAATGTTTTATTTTTATTATGCACACTACCTGAGAATTATTTCTGATAATATCTCTGGCACACTTAACACGAAGAATGGCGGAAAGAATATCCATATCCATTTTCGGAGCGAGTTTAATTCGAAGTTAGTTTTAAATAGACACATTTAGATGTATTGGCTTTGAAATCAAATGCCGTATGTCTTTAAAAATACAGCCACTTGATTTGAGCTCGCCAACACGCAAATTAGGATATAAAATCAAACTTTCGCTTGAAAGGTTAAGTCTTAATCGTTCTATAATTCCCCACGGTGAATGGTGTCGGTCTCACCCAGTGGCAATCATTACATTTCTAATCAATTAATAAGAAGACATATGGTGTCAATTTGGACGCTCCTCTCTATATACACCCAAGAGTTATTAGCACAAAGCTTGGATTGCCGCCTGTGACCTTTAAACAAACCAAAGGCCTATCCCGAATGATATCTTTTTAGTAATACACGCGAGACATCACACGACAACATTTGTGTACAATAACATCGTTTATCTCTAAGAAGGAAAAAAAATCAACGGAAAGTTTTTATAGGCAAAAACTGTTTTTCGGCGCGTAATATTTTATTATTTTTATCTCAAGGCTTTTTTCAATAATAATGTTTTTTAAAAATGTGGGAATATTAATTCTTTATTTATTGCTCATACAGTGTAATGTGCTCCACTTCAGCTGACCTAGATTTAAACGCTCAGTTAAAACTCCAAAGTGTTGCACCTACAGAAATAATCTATGGACGTCAAAATTAGTGACTAACACAGTAGGCCTACACCAGTCGTTAGTATGAGGACAGAGCAAAAAATGGCACTTACAACAATAAAATCAATAGAAATGAGAGGATGACATTCAACACACCTTCGTTACAGATGTCATACACCTCTTGTCCAGCATTAAGAGAGAAAATATGTCTCATTTATTGTAATCATAACTTACTCAATACTTTCCACAAATGACTAAGTATATGTTTTGCTAGTTGGCCTTCACACATCTCAAAGACACAGACACATTCGCGCATGTAATTTATTCATGCTCTACAACACTCAATGTTGCATCAAAGCTCAGTCTATTATTTCACTCTCGCGGTGTTTCATAAACATGATAGACGTTCCATCAGAATCATGCAATGTCAATTTCGTCTCTGCTAATGGACTAGGTGGATTGGCCGCCGATGCTAACATTAATTCAGCAATTATTTAAAAGCAAGTCAAGCAGAAACATCCTCTCTCTCTCTCTCTAACACACACAGACACACACAATTATGCAAAGAGCATATGGGTTAGACACTCTAACTAGGTTGTGTAGCTATGCAGGCTTCCTTGTGAGTTTTTTTGCAATTCAAAGAATTTGTCGCTGGGAATGTAATTTTTGCTCTCTCAAATGTAGCCTGTAGATTTTTAAATAATAGCTTACGATGTTCCATAAAACTATAAAATTGTTCAAGTCAGGCTTAAGCAATGAGTTTAGCTTACTATGCAGTGTTCAGCTACTTTGAGGGAGCTGTATGAATGACAGGCAAAAATTTTGGCAGCATGCACACGCCCAACACCCCTGACGTACAGTGTAAACTGCCTTCACTAATATACCAAAACAAATGCTTTGCTGGCTAGACGCCCCTCACGTTTCTCTCGTGTTTTTTTCCCCTAGCACACCTTTCTTTTTAATAATAAAAACGCATTTCAGAAAAAGAAAAGAACTCCACTTACTGTTTTGCATCATGGACGCGACGCCAGACTCCCACGTGGCCCGGTTATAGTATTCTATTAGTCATAAAGAAGCAATAGTAATGGTCAGTTTCACATTTTTAAATCAAGTGTATTGCAGTGCATTGTGTGTAAGACTTGTGTGCAAGAAAGTTACGGACAATAATTGTGTGGGCTGAAGCCTCACAATTTTTGCATTCATGCTGCAAAAAGTGAGAACAAAAAATACTGTCTCCACAAATACACTTATGTCCAGGGTTTAAAACTTGCCTGGAAACAGAGTTGACTGTCCGCTTAAAACAATTTATAGACTCTCATCTGCTTCACTCTATTAAAATATCCCTAGGACAAAGCAAAACAATTTATTAGTACACCTATCCGTAATTATTTCTTTAGCATTACAACTAAATCTAATATTAGCTTTTTTTTAGGATAGAGTTTTTATGACTTATGATGTGTTTATTATACTTAAAATTGTTTTCTTATTATAAGTTTAATTGTTTATTCGAATAATAATAAGTCAAATTATTATTACTACTATTACTATTATTATTATTATTATTATTATTATTATTATACAAATTATTTTCGACCTGTACATCTGCTTTTCCCTGACCTTCATGATTAGAAAACTTCAAATGTTGTGGGCAAGGCCTACTTTTTTCCTCTCCTTCAGATACTCTGTTCTGGTGACACACGCTGTCTACCTCGCCTGGCTGCGCTGGAAAAGTAAAGCCAGGAGGGGGTGAGGGGTCCCCGACAAAGCCCCGCTGAATTTTAACAATAGCTTTCTTTCTCCCTCTACACCAAAACCCAGAGAGTAAAACCCGGGCTCCCTAACTAGCTACACCGCTTCCAACTAAACGTACCAACAACTCTCAGAAAATACAAAGAGCTGAAGGGAGCGAGCCCCCCTCCTCCTCCTACACCCGGTCCAGCATACCCCCCTTCACCCGCAACAGCCAGTGCAGCTCACTATGACCCGGTGCCCGTTACCTCAATGCCTTTTTGTTTGTCTCGTTGCGCGAAATAGAAAAGTAATTTCTTGTTATAAGTATCTGGAGGTAATTGTGTTACTGGTATGTGTCGTTAAGGGCTGTAAAAAATGTACAACAGCGCAGTGGGGCGCTCAATTGGTAAAAGACAATTGCAATAAAGAACCCATTCAATACATTTACCGAAAAGGAGGCCACTGAAGAAATACTCACTGCTTTGATTTTTTTTGATGGATTGTGGATGGATTGTGTGCGCGTTTTACAGTGAACAGCAACAAATAAATACATACACCAATCGCCAGCCAGCGTTGCACGTGTTTCATGAAATACCATTTATATTTAAATATATATATCACTGTATTGCTTTTTAAAATTAATTTTTAACTCTTTAGATATATCCAGAATTTTTTTTAACAAGGTTTCACTTTTCTTTTTTTTTCATTTCTCTAGAAATTACATCAATTCAAAACCATTTTTGGATTGCAAATAAAAAAATGTAATATCACGATTAAATTTTATACGAAGTAAACTATTCAGTATTTCTTTCCCACGTGGGCTATTTAAGGTCTTCTGCCTTGACTCATCTCTTTAGGTAATGATCTGTTTTAATAGTGCTATCTGTAATTGACAGGGACTAATCATTTTTGGATTGCAAATAAAAAAATGTAATATCACGATTAAATTTTATACGAAGTAAACTATTCAGTATTTCTTTCCCACGTGGGCTATTTAAGGTCTTCTGCCTTGACTCATCTCTTTAGGTAATGATCTGTTTTAATAGTGCTATCTGTAATTGACAGGGCCTAATCTGCATTTTGTTCGTTCTAATGTGCAACATGAAGGCTCTTAATTAAGCACACTTATTTAAGCCTTTGATATTCTGCGGAAAGTAGATTCTTGTGACAGTTTAGAAAGCTGAAAACCGTGCTGATTTATACAAATGTATAAAAACTACTATACGTAGCCTGTATTATAGCATGCAAATGACTGGCACCGTAAAATCAAAATAGAGACAGAATTAGATGCATTTAATTTTACAGCATTTAATTATATATTTATCAGATGTTTCATTTAATACTTTTATAAGACAACTCATACACATAGATTTAGATTAGATACAATATCGATCATATTTTTGTTCGTTTTTTACTACAAACTTAACCACAAAAATAGAGTAAATTAACTGTCAAGTTAAAAGTTTAAACATTAACGTAATTTAGCTTTTTAATAGTTAGTCTGGGACAAAGAAGGCAGCGTTTCCCTGACTGAAAAGCAAAACACCCAAGTTCACGGTGCGATTTGGTGGTGGCGCCCGGCTGAATGTGATGGTGTGATTCAACCTGACACTCCACCTCATCGGGTCATTGCGTTCCCATTTTCAGGACTGATCGCGGTCTTGGCCTACTGTGGCTTTTTGCTTTCCTCTGTCATAAATAAGAACTTTGCTTGGCACAAAACTCGACATAGCTAAAGCATTAAAAGGCAAAGAGCATCCGTGAAAATCCATGATAGAGTTTGACACCACGAGGTTGTGCAGCTTTTACGTTTTCTTTTTTAGTATCGTGCTTTTCGTTGAAAGTTTTTGTTTTGATAAACAGCTTCTTCAAGGCCATAACTAACTTTTTTCCATAATTATTATTTACAAACCACTAGTTGTTGTTTTTTTTTTTTTTTATATATATGTTTAAAGTTAGCGTACATTTAGCAATTTCACTTGTAAGTGGTGCATATGCGTGCAAGTTGCTCGAAAGAAAAACATTTCTTAACTTACCTTTTTGAGGCATAGTTCCTACAGCCTTCGTATCCTCGCTGATATACTTCGCTTACAATAAAGAGAAGACTCTGAAGTTCTAGAAAATCGTCCTCGAACAGTTTGTCTTTTATAGTTTCCAACTGATCTCGGGTGGAAAATATAAATTCCCTGCGAAGGAAACAGAGATTGACAATAAAATGGGATGTCAAGACTGCGCGAGACTGAAAAATGTGCGCTCGTGGGAGAGAGTGAGAGAGAGAGGGGGAAAGAGAGGGAGAGGGAGCGAGAGAGAGAGAGGGCGCGCACCTATGCTGATTGGTGATAGCACTCGTGTATTAATGTATGTGTTCCTGGTCTGTGCCTCGCCTCCTCTCCTCTTCAGTGGCCCATTAGCTGAGCCTGACCTCTGTCATCATCTCCCAGCAAAACACTTCCTCCTGCCCCGGTGACAGAGCGGGAAACAGGGCCGAGCAAAAAAGCTAGTTTTCAACCCTACTTAATCACTCCTCATAAGCATATGATTCTCTCGAGAATTTTTCCATTGAAATGCATTTGGGCGTTCACGTTATTAAACTCTGTGTGACTAGACACTTGGAAAAAAGTACCAGGAAGTACCATGGTAGTGGTATTTTTTTTTTGTCATACAAGCGTGTTCTTGGAATTATCTGGAATATATAGTGCCATATTTTTATGAGAATTTGCCGTGGCAGTAGCCTACTTATTTGTTGTCAAATACTAAACAAGCGAATTTGTATACAAGTAAGCATTTCTTAAATGTTGGCCTGCTTTATTACTTACATTTTTACTTAACTCCGTTATTATTGTGTCAGTTCACGCTACTTTTGTCGACTGAAACGAGCCCAAACTTTCTCCACGTGTCATTGTTGACTTGGTGTCTGAGAATGTCATCCGCCTTTACGGCGCGCGGTCAACGATCAGTTGGGAGACCCCATACTATTTACATTAATAGCGTGATTTGTTGTCGTTTTCAGCGGGAGAAAAAGAAACTCTGTGTCGTGGGTTGCCAAGGGGGAAATGAAAATATCATTACGTCCATGGCCGGACACTTAAACTACATTTGTTGATTGCTTGGACATTAGCACACACCTCGGTAAACTCCAAAGCAACCCCTCCGCGCCTGTGTTCGAGGTTACATACGCTGCACTCTCAGCTCGCCACTCGCAGCTTGGGGTGTTCCACCCGTTCACTGGAGTGGAATAGATTCCGGGTTGGGATACAAGAAATGGAGAGGGGAGGGGGGACGTATAGCATGGTGGGACAGCTTTAAAGAGAGACAAAATGTGTTGGGACGCACGGAGCATAAAATTAAGCTGTGGTTGCATACACTTGACTTCGTTTTGACATGTGAAAAGTGCTAAAAGTCGGAGCTCATCAATAAACTATCGCGAAAGTGAATGCGAGCTCTGACAACCATTGCATTCCCCACTATATAGCACAATGAGGAAACAAACGACACTGCCAAAGAGTCTGCATCGCAATGAAAGGCCGCTTGAATGGGAGTCGGATAATGAGCTGGCGCGACCGTCATGCACTGTCATCTCGGGTCCTGCGGTGCGACCCCGCCACGCCGTTTGATATTTTCGAATAATTTCCCTCTCCTTCCCATTTAAAGTTTTGCTGGTTCCTTCGGAGGTGAAAGTTCAGCTTGAAATGCAACACGTTGTGCTACTGCACTGAGATTCAAACGCTTGTTTTTAGGTTTTTTTTTTTTTTAGTCTGTAGCATGTCAACTCCATCTTGTTTAAAATATTCGTAGCAACCAAACTGATGGTTGTCCTTAAAATAGAGCAGCTTTAACCTTACACTTTAAAAAAATAAAAACTATTCGGTGTTTTTGGAGGTTCAGCACAGAAGCTTATTAAGAAGCAGGCATCTTAATAGCTAACCGGTATTTTAAAATGAGGTTCTTCAGAACAATCTATTTGTTTGTAAAGTAGCCTACCAAAATTTAGTGAATAAAAAGTTATGTATGGAAGATTCCATGACATCACACTTTGAAATTATTTTGGTTCTAATTGGAACGTTTAATTTGAACAGTGTATTTATTTAAAAAAGAAAGAAAGAAAAAAAAATAAGAAGCCACTAAAACATGCTTATGGAAACCAAAGACGTGCTAAATATTTGCTCTATAGTTAAACCAACCTGTTTAAAAGGCTGGTCGACATCAAATATTTGACTAGTTCCAGACTTTTCACACGGATGGACTCTTGTAGTCCTCCCATCAATTAGCACATTTCGGATTAGCAGTCAGTGGTGTTTGGTCATGAAAAAGACCCTAATCTTGTCGCTGTTTCCCTCAGGCAAAATAGACGGTGCCTCGCCTCTCCCTAAAAGTTTTCAACAGGGAGAAAAAAAACTAATAGTAAGGGGGGAGGACTGAATGCAGCTGACGTCAGAGCGAGCGAGAGAGACGTGTATGGAGAGAGAGAGAATTAGAGATAGGCTGGCTCTTATTAAAGCAATGTGGGAAAAGTTTTTCGTTATGGCCAGTGCAAGCCCTACATCTAGTCACCATGTTCTGGGGGAGGGGACCTACCAAAGTTTTTTGATGTGGTTGCCCACAGCGACATCGACCACTGCACTGGCAAAGGGCCCTTCTGTGTAGGCTAACTCTAGGCGCCATTATCCAAAAAGCAAGTTACACATTGTTCCATTTCATTAGGTATAATAGACAAGTTGTTGTGGGCTGATAATTGTAATTATTTCCGTTCTACCTTTTGCTTGTTATTTCAGACAAAAAAATGTTTTGCAGCCTTAATGTTTTGTTTTTTTAAATTAGTTACTGAAAGTGGATTTCTGTAAAGCTGCGTAAAGTGTAAGCATTAAAATATTTCGATAAAATGACAGTTGTGACAATTTATGGACCGTGTAATCTTCATTCAGGGCAAAGTTTATGCATTGCAGGTCAAATGGTAATGTTAATCTTGAAATGAATTTCTAACGACTGTGTTTTATATCAGTACTGAATAGTGTAATTTGCATAGTAGCCATATTGTACTAGGCTACTTCAAATATTTCTTCTACAAATATTTAAATACACAGTTGTTAAATACACAAATTCCACTTTATAGGAAGAATTGTATTGTTTTATGGAAAAATAATATCTTTGTAGGCTAGCCTATATAAAATATTAATTTGCGGCAACCATACATTATTTTTTATTTATTATTACTATATTAATTTTAGTAGTAGAAAATATTTTTTATAGACACCAATTTTATTCTGTAACTTACTGGTGAAGGTATTTATAAAGTAACTCAAATACCTACGTTATCAACTTTATTTTGTTTATTTAAGAAAGCTTTAATGATGCGCGACGTGCTTGATTTAAAAAAAAATGAAAATGCATTGTTATAATAATGAAAACAAAGTTGTAACTTACTTAAATGATTAAATGTTTAAATTATTTAGGCCTACTCTTTATCATGATGTCCTGTTTAAAATGTATTTGAAGACATTACAACCCAATTAAATTAAATTATGTTGCACATAAAGCAGTTGACTGGCATGGTGTCAAAACGTGTATCAAGTATTGAAGAATAATCAATTAATTTCACGGCATAGTTTTAGAGGAATAAGGTTCTGCAGTCACATTCATGGTAAATTAGGTATTGCTCGAGATTAACAGACACCTAAATGCTGTCAGCGCAACAATCTGATGTCATAACATTTGTGAAAACATGTTTTAAAGTACAGTTTAGAACCTTGTAAACTCACTTACCTCAATAAACGCTATAGCCGTTCCGCTAGCGAATATGAGTGATTTCGTTATGAGAGGCACGTTTCCAAATGAGCCTCGAGACGAGAGTAAAGAGTGTCTAGAGAGAACCCCTCCGGATCCGATTCACAAAACTAGTCCCAAAGTAAATAATATCCAGTCCAACAAGCCGAAAAGGAAACCACGGGAAAAGTTGTGAGAGATTGTAAACCCCTCTTTGTAGTGTTGATGAAAATACTAGCCTATTTAACAGATGAAAAGCAGGTCCAACTTTGGACTCTCCCTCGAGATTCTTACGACACACGCAAACCTCGCACGTTAACTGTGTTGTCTTGTTGAAAATACCTCTCTCTTTAAACGTGGTTCGGAATAAAAAAAAGACGTCCTCGTCTCACCGTCAACTTTCTCTTAATATTAACCTCAACCTGGCAGTGATTGGCTAGAGTGACGGCCCACGTCACACTTGACGCCATTTATCATTCCCCAAACCGGGAAGTTGAAGGAACTGCTGTCTGTTGTGTGCGAATTTGAGAACCTATAAACCATACATAGCATGTGGTTTCTTTTAGGTTCATCTCACTTAATAATTCTGTTTAATGAGAGTGTTTAAATTAGTGTGGTAGGCTATTATTTTGTAGCCTATGCTTCCTTAAAAAAACAAAGGAACAATTTTTGTTGTGAATAGGTCTATAAATAAATATTTTATACCTAATAGAGACAGGATTTAAATGAAATTTAAAATAATAGAAAATAAGCAATGTTGCAGTTCATTTAGGCTGTTTACAAACTGTCACCAGCAGAATGTAACCTACATTTATACAGGCCAACAAAAAAGTGTCTCAAAAATCTAAAGTCGTCATGTTAGCTAGTTTTACCACTGAAGTTTGTTATTTATGCCAAATGACAACACAAAATACAGTTTACATCGCCTTTGTTATGGGATCCCATATTTATTACATGATATAATTTATTCAGATGTGTTGGCCCTATATAAAAAATATTAAAATTTCGAGATTGTGGCGTGTTATTGTGTCAAGCAGCGATGCTGCCAACGTAGCCTAGCTTAATATGAACCTTAATAAAGATTATAAAGATTTTATCTTTGTACAAAAGATTATGGCAGATTCGTAGAAGTATGCACATTTTAAAAGGGAGAACACAGATGAGAATCAAGTGCTGCCGCCGTTTAGACCCCATGAAACCGGTGCAACCCAGCAGAGTTCTTGAGAAACCGCACGGCCTGGCCCCGCTTATCAGGCTGTCAATAAAGCGAGATGGGGATGCTAAAGCCGGGCCAGGTGCTGTCTCTCCCTCTCTCCGCTGGCCTGCACTCCAGAGCGCGATCAGGCGTAAACTTAAATCTGTCCAGCCAGCTTTCCCTTACGCCGACCCTCTGCTTCCAAGCGTGTGTGTGTGTGTGTGTGTGTGTGTGTGTGTTTGGGAGAGCGAGAGAGAGGAAAGCAAGGGGAGCCCTTGAGCCCCCCCACCCCTCCCCCGAGTGTTAAAAATTCTGAAAAATATTTTATTTGTATTTATTTACTATTATTATTTTAAGAAAAATTACACTTTTTAAAATATTATATTATTAAAAATTAAAACATAGGCCTACCATTATAAAGAAACTTTACACTACTGATTAGGCTGTGTCTGACTTCACGCTCCCTGTAACTATTTTACGATTTTATTAATCTGTATTTTATTGTTAAAATGTAGCCAATGTATATGAGAGAAAGAGACCGACAGAAAAAGATGCTCTACCTAAATATGAAGTAAAGAATTACGCTGCGACCGTTTGAATGAATGTTTATGATGATTAAACAAGCGGCGTATTGGCTTTTTCTGCTCAGAAGGAACATTTTCTTGATATTAAAGCCAATGTTATACCTGTGGATTTTTGCTTTTCTATTAATTAATAGCTAATCAAAGCTACTTCGATTTTACCAAAAAAAAAGTGACGGCCTGTTTAATTCATCATGAGCACAGAATCACTCGTGTGGATAATTTATCCATAGCAAAAGCTTTCCTGACTTGTGAAAATACCTGACAAAATATTTATGGCACTAATCGTGATTTTATTGGAGGTGGATTTTTGGTGATTATGGAGTAATTTAATAAGCATGCTTGTGTGTGTATATGGTTTTATTTGTTCTGGCGACATTAGTTGAATTCCCTCGGGGTGATTGGATGTAGTTTGCTCCAAGTCGACAGCCACGTCCTGTAGGCTATGTTAGAAAATCATTTTTGCTCAACACGACAAGGCTGAGTTCGATACTCAATGTATTTAAAGGCGCGTCAAGCGGAAAGACCTTTGATTATTTTCGTCTAATCCCAAACTGTTTGCAGAAACCGAGAGGCAGAAAGATGCGCCTGTGCGTAACCGTGTTTGGATAAGATCAACAATTGTACCTCAGTCAAAAGAGAGCTCAAACTCTGAGATTAGATATTGACAGGCTCCAATAGCATAAAGCGAAGACTGACACTTGCCTCCGAGTCGATGCATAGTACAATAAAATTATATGAATGGATCGAGCACGTTTGTCATTTTCTTGTCAAGGAATAAAAGGACAAAAGTAAGCACATTGTACCTACATGACTGCCAGTAATGGAGTAATTGATTTTTTTTCCTGCACACACACAAAAATTGTTTTAATATCAGGGGCATTTTGACTGGCCAGTCAAAATATATATAATATATAATATTAGTAAGTCTGATATGTATTATTTTACATTGTGCTTACAGGTTACTGCATGCAAATGAAAAGTAAAATCTATTTTGTTGTGTGAAATGGGAAATGCATGCATGGAAAACATTTCTTGTGTGCTTAAAATACATTTCTTGAATGAAGACCCCTAATCAAAAATGAGTTTTTGGAGTCCATTCTACTCAGAACATATAAGTTGCGCATTAAGATTATCAAATGACTTGGAGGAGAATGTCTGTTGCAGACAGTGATGTAAAACCTCACAAAACTGAGTAATGACTAAATGATGAGAGCAGACTATTCTGTCCAAATGTCCACTCCATAAATGGACAAATCCAGTATTCTTTGTGATCAGTTAGGTCAGACATATGCCGCGTGCCTCTGGAAAAGCTGCTTCTCTTGAGATCATCCTCCTCGTGATGAGGAGAGCTGCCATAATCATTAATGGTTCTGCACTGTTGGTTTTAGATCCAGTTCTGTGAATTTTTTTCTAAGCTTTGTTAAAATATTCTTCATTTGACCCTAGATGCCCTCTTAAAAATTGTGGAGTGTGAATACATAAAAGGAAACAAGAAAACGGGCCAATTTGTCAAGGAAAAACTGCATTCCGATGAGTTTGATTAAAATGTAGACACACATTTTTTGTCTTTCCGAAACATTGTTTGTTATTGTCTTGATTTCTAAATGCCTTTCCATGTAATTGCTATTGATGAACAGCTGTGCTTTGCATCTACTCAAAGTTCATAGAGACAATGAAAGCGCAGTAAAGGCCTCTGAACTTGGAATCCACCCAAGTTCACAAGCTAGAAATATGCATGGTGTCATAAATGCTTTTTTTTTTTTTATCCTGCTCCCAGATATAATTGCAAGGAAATGTATGCCTAACATATGGTTTCTTCTCATGGTTGTGCAAAGGTTGAACTTAAATATTCTACACTTTATATCACTGCTGAAAGCTATTTGTACTGTAGCTCCACTTTTTCTTTAACCAAGATCCTGGATTTTCCTTTTCTATAAGCAACAGGCTCATTTATCAGTTTTATTTCAGGTTATAGAAATCTAAGCATTCACTGTCCTATTAATTGACCGTACCACAGTGGGTAGATATTGTAGATATTGCTCTGCCCATTTCTCTAAATTAGGCCCATGCAGAGGCAGGGTAAGCAACGTAAAGCAAGACATCAAGCGGTGAATTAGGTTTCCCTTTTGGCTGCTCTCCCTGGTGAGTCTTTACATTTACCATTTCAAATGCCACATCGCTGGGTGTTTTATACCATTGTTGGGGCATCCAAGTGTCCACTGAGACCAGGACCCTTGGCAATTTCTTATAATTAGCAACCCCCATCTTGCCAATAACTGAAAGGATTCCATTTCATCCCAGTCTTAATCCATGCTAATTTGGCCTGCTCACCTCCAGGTGTTCTTTCCCAACGCATGCATTGGAATAAAGCTGCATGCTGGGCACTTCAAGGAGTGATATTATGACTGATATGAAATTTCATCCTGCTGAGAAATCAAGTATTTATCACAGTTCTCATTATTAGATAAATAAACATATCTCTCTCCGAGCTTCAACTTTCAGTGACTGTATGTCTGCAAGATAAGAAGACATGGAGTAGCAATAAAGGAAAGTTAAAGGTAATGCCAATCTAATATGATTATGTAATTAACTGGTGATATTGGAGAAGGATTTATGAATGTTAGAAGTGCAAATAAGATTGCAAAGGAATCTCTGCAAATGGAGGATGAGTGTCATTTGAAATGATAAGATAATTTAAGTTTATTTGTACGTTTGTATAGTTTTAGAAAAGAACATACAGTGTGTTTGCATGGATTCGTACAGTTAGCCTCCACATTATGGAGGAAACAAAATAGAATTCAGAACTATATTTACACGTTTGTCCATTCAGCCGTATTGTCTGTCTGAAAATCTCGTTAAACGTGCAGTGATGAGAAAGAGCGAGGATTGTTATGTTTTGTGAAACCGCAAAGCAATTTTCTAGGAAACCTGAATAACAGGAGGGAGGAGATTATGAATAAAACTAAGGTCATTAAATCGGGCTGCGTAGCTCCCAGCGAAGCGAAGACGAAATGTAGAAACACCTAAAGTGACAAACTCAACACAAATCTGGCTGATACATTTAAATAGATGCGGCAGCAGCGCCGCTATGTTTGAATAACAGGAATACTAACACTAAATCAGGCAATAACAACGACAAACCGCCTGGAAAATAGATTCATGGAGTAATGAGATTTTTCCGGTTTTATCTAGCTGACAAATTTTGTCCTAAAGTAAATATTTTGAAGATAATTGAACTGATTGCTGCTCGCTTGCTCATCTGAATTTCTGAATGCGAAATACAACGTTGTGAAACAGAATACACTTTCAACAATGCGCAATTTAAACCGTTATTAATTCAGTTCATTAAGTGATATTATAAATAATGTCACGAGCTGTTAATGCAAATTCACTCGTATCCGTTGCATTTAGATTTAAATCTGAATAAATTTCCAGTTTTCCAACACTGAGTGTCTGTGAGCCTCAAAATATTGAAAATAATGCAAATGTAAACTTTGTTATGGACTAAAACGGTATAATTTGTACGAGTTTTACTACCCTGAACGATTTTGTTTTAAATAAATAAATAATGTGAATTTTTAGCGATAACACGTGAATGAAGG